TTATCCTTAAAAAAAAGGATTACAGTTTAGCATTAGTGTTGCTGACAGAAAATAAGCATTAAGGACACCAATAATATGAAAAATGGTGCCACTAATTGCAGCCTGTAATTGACTATTTGTGGCAGATTCACTAATTTGAGCTGTTTTATGAAACAATTTTAAACATGTTTGTTGACAGGGCTTTGGCAGACAAGTGACTCTAGGTCTGTTATCTGAGAATCTATGGGACACCATTAGATCAGGCAGTGGGAGGTAAGATAATTCATCAGTGGGGGATCTCTGGTTTTAGACTTGTGAGACACCTTTGAGCTTTACCTGGGTTTTGACTCTCAAATGTGCACCTACCTTCTTATAATTCAATTCCACTGAGTCATTCTGTTCACATCACGTGAAAAAGCATCCAACATGTGTAAGACTTCACTTGTTGTTAGGATGGGCACAGTCCAGGTCAGCAGGTGCAGCTTATATTTATGAGCTTTAAAAAACAACAACGCTCCAGCTGCTGAATGTCGCCAAATAGCCACAGTTGCTCATCAACCTGGATGCCATGTGGAGGGGTGAGATGCATTTGGGGGAAGCAGTGGACTCATTTAGCAATCATCAGGCTCAAAACAACTCCCAGTGTTGCCATGGCAACAGGAAGCAATCTGCACCGGCGGCGTATTCCTTGTGGAAAACCAAATCAATTGATTTTTTATTTTTTTTTTTCCAGTTGAGCGTACACCTCCCTGGTCACGTTGCTCACCAGAAGTTTGCAGATGTTTGCAGAGGGGGGTCGAGAGTGGCTGCAAATGGACAGAGATAAAAGAGTAAAGAGAACGAAATGTTTTTATGGCTTTGAGTTTGTCATTACTCAGACTGCAAGGAAAAGCGGGGGGGAGGAGGAGGAGGAGGAGGAGGGGGTGATAGCTCACATCCTCTGCTGCCTCTATTTATTCTGCCCAAACTGTTTTCAAGGCCAAGTCTATAAAATGGGGTTGAAACGATCAAGACGATAAGCAAATATCCATCTGTGTTTCCATTATCTAAATGATGGTTCACTCTCACTCTGCCAAGAGGGAGGAAAAACAAACAGGAGGCAGGAAAAGGGAAAATGAGAAAGATGGATGAACAATGATGATGGATGGTTGGGTCTATCTCTTACCTTACCTGTAATTCCCACAAAGACTCATTAACTCGGAAAGTTGCATAAAGCAGGACATCTCTTTGGTCACAAATAGCCCTCTGGCTGCGTTCAGCCTGAGAAAGCGTTATTATTGGAGAGAGTGAAGCTGCTCAAAACAACAGCCCTTACGTTTTGTCCCAGTCTGCTGCATAAGGAAGTGTTACCTAAAGCTCAGCATCTTTAATTTGCGTCGCACACAGATGGCTGCCGTCATTAACACAATGCTGGCGTCTAAACTTCATTTTAAAGGAGATGCTGCCTCTCATTTTTGTTCTGCTCTTCATTTGGCCTTTATTTCATTTTGTCGCTTTGAAGGCCCGAAGAGCAGATCAATTCTAATCAAGTGCTTTGGGTCGCAAAACATCTGCCACAGATGTGAGCATTCTTTGGCCAAAAAAACAAAACAAACATAGCTCAGCGAGCATTCAGAGAAGAATTAGTTTGTCCAAAGTGCATTCATTTACAGGGAGACGTCCAAAGTGCATTCATTTACAGGGAGACACTAGTGAAGCTGTATTAAATCAGGGCAGAAATGAGGCTCTTGTTTGCCCAATTTGGCCACCGGAGACTTATAGTTCCTGCCTGACTGCTCTTCACTGACTCCATCAGACCAGAGAAGTGAGTATTTGTAAGTTGAACACATTAGACTGAATGTCTTTGTCCTTTTTCTAGCCGTCCTCCTCTCATCCTTCTCATTTCCTCATTACATCAATCGTTCTCAGCACCACCCTGCTGTCGTGGGCAGCCGCGTTCCAAGTGCACTTGTCATTTTCCTGATGCTCGTCTGTATCTTGCCCACAAATCCAACGCCCTTTTCTACCTGAAAGAGCTTCCCTGAGCTTCAGCTGAGAGAGTGTTGGAGGGGTGGGGGGGGCTGGGGTGCGTTGCATTCCCTCAGCAGAAATGTCAACTTATCATGTGCAATTAGGAACCTGCTTATAACAATGAAATTCAATGCCAAGGGCCAGAATGTCATTCAATAACTGAATAGATTTCAACGCAAGGGGATTTAACTTTACATGACATAGGGAGCATAAAAAATGGGAACCTTTAAAATGTTGTTTTTAACAGATTGCACAAGTAATGTGAACAATTAGTACTCCACAGATTCTAAAATGAAAGCAGATGAAAACCTGTTGTACACGTTTTTAGAAACTTATCCATTTTAACAGGCTTTTTTAAATTACAATTTCACAACTTTTAAATCAATGGTAAACAAACACCCCCACAGTGACAACTACCCCCAGACAAACTAATAATTAAAAGAAAAAGCTAAATAAATTAAACTAAATGTAATAAATAAATAAAGCTATGTTTACACATTCACATGTCATGTTTACGTATAGGTCAAGGTTTTCTTTATTGTCGTTTGCATCTCATGTGGTACATGTGGTGGAACGAAATTGTGTACACAGGGTCCCAGCATTCCAACAAAAGTATGAATTGTAAAAGAAAAACAATAATAAGATCTAAGAAATGAATGAAGAAATACAGTAGAGCCTCGCTACTACGCGGTTCGTTTTTTGCGGATTTGTTATATCGCGGTTTTTCAAAGTAAGATTGAACATGACACAATTGGCTGATGATTAGGCGTGTTTGTTCCATCTGAAATCCATGACCATCTTCTTTGTCTTAGTCACATTGATGCGAAGGTTGTTCTTCCTGCACCAGCTCTCCAGGTGTTCCACCTCCTGCCTGTAGCTGGACTCATCATTGTTTGTGATGCATCCCACCACCACTGTATCATCTGCAAACTTTACAACGTGACAGCCTGGATGGCTAGGTGTGCAGTCATATGTTAACAGAGTGAACAGGAGGGGGCTCAGTACACAGCCCTGGGGGGAGCTGGTGCTGAGGGTTATGATGGATGAGGAGAAGTTGTGGATCCTCACAGACTGTGGTCTGTTTGTTAAGAAGTCCAGGACCCAGTTGCATAGAGAGGGGCTTAGTGTGAGTACCGTCGTTTGTCCATCAGGGTTTGGGGGATCATGGTGTTGAAGGCAGACGTGAAGTCCACAAAGAGCATACGGACGTAGGAGTCCTTCTGCTCCAGGTGGGTGAGAGCAGTGTGGACCACAGAGGAGATGGCGTCCTCTGTTGATCGATTCTCGCGGTATGTGTACTGATGATGGTCCTCGTTGATGTTGATGGTTGTTTTGATGTGGGTCATGACCAGTTTTTTGAAGCATTTAACGGCTATCAGGGTGAGGGCTACTGACTGGTTGTCCTTCAGACCAGTCACTGTAGATGTCTTTGGAATTGGGATGATGGTGGCAGTCTTCAGGCAGGTGGAAACTGTTGCAAGGGTAAGTGAGGAGTTAAAGATGTCGGCCAGCACCTCGCAGAGCTGATCGGCCTAATGTGTATATACAATATATACAGTATAGACACATGTCAAAACACGTGGGTTCAGATCAGAATGGTCTGACAACCTGCACTTACCATGGGACAGAAGGTATTTCAAAATATACAGCCTTACAGACAAAGTCTGCCTGATTGTGTCCAGTTTAAAGAAAATGAAGGACCTCTCTGATCCAACTTGTTTATGTAGGTGGAGCTGCAGATTTTCAGTTTAGCAGGATTGGCCTCTTGGTCAGCAATTATCTGTGAATGCTATTAAATACTTTTTGCAGGACAGAAAGCAAGTAAAGTTGGCCACACCCTGAACAAAGCAATCCTCTCCAGTTACATAGATAATTTGAGTAAAAATATACACCAGAGCCTCTTCGTTGAGGAACAGCTTTTAAATATGTGTCCATTATTTGTGCAAGCCTGCATTTAATACAGTGAGGATGCAGCGTTGCATAAAACTGTGCCTGTTCCAGACTGAAGATCTGTGCACCCTCTTTGAAACATTCATCCAAACACCATCTGAGATCAACAATCCCAAGTCTTTCTCTCATACAGTTCCTATGGAAGAGTTTGAAATGTTGAAAGTACTTAAATATATACAAAAACTTGTAGAAGCTGTAACAACACTCTCAAATCAAAAGGGTTAGGAAGAGGGATGTGAACTGAACTAAGAAAGTATTGGTTTGAATTGGAGAAGTAGAGTTTAGAAGTAGCAACAAATTTCTCAAGGTTTTGATACCTAACCCAGTCATGCTAGAATTATCCACTAAAAGTTGAGGAAAAATATGATAAAACTCTTAATTTTGTGTTTGTATTTAATTTCCCTCTGGGATTTATTTAATTTCCCTCTGGGATTAATAAAGTATTTTTGAATTGAATTGAATTCAAAATCATAAATTCAGAAGCAAAATGTAGAGAAACTATTTTCAGCCTGCCTGTGCTTTTTGCTTTTTTATTTGTTCCAACTATTTATAATTGCAACTAATGTTTTCACATTAGTTCGAACTATTCAAAGACTTAATTCTAACTTGCATGAAGAAAACAAATATTATGAAAAGTTTCTTCAGACGGGCTGTTCTGGTGCATTTTGTTCCCGTGAGAATAAAGTGGCGCATCTTCAGCGCCAGTAGTTGTGGTTCTATGGACCAAAGTGGTAGAATAATTCATACAGTTCAAAAGTCACGTTTTTGTTCATGACATTTTCCACAGCAGACATTTTTTCCTTCTTCACACTCTCTTTGTTGTGTTTGCGTTCTTCGCTCTGGAGAGGTTGGAGACATTTTACGCACGAACGCCAGCCAAGCTGCGCATGGTTTTACTTTGCCACGTATAAACACACACACACGCACACACACCCACACATACACCCCCACCCCCCCCACCCCCGCACACACACCTTGTCGTCCAGCGCAGCAACAGGTTAGATGAGTCTGTTTAAAACGTGTAAAATAAGCGCAACGAGCTTTTTGTTCTTGTGTCTTACCTGACGATGATGTACATGACCAGCACATTTCCCACCAGCCCCACCATGCACACGATGGAGTAGAGAGCCGTGATGATGATGGCAATGATGAAGGGGTTGGCGTCGTCCTCCAGGCTGCCGGTCAGCCCCGGGTCTCCGCCGCACCGCGGCTCCGTCAAGTTGCTGTTGTCGGTCCAGTTCCGGCAGAAGCCGCTGCTCGAGAGCAGCGGCAGCTGGAGCAGCTGCTCCGCGTCCGAGCTGTTGCCTGCGCTCTCCATGGTCCCGCTTCGGGTGTGCGTGCGTTTCCCGCGCTGCGTCTGTCTCCGTCAGGAGGCTGCCGGGCGATGCCCCGCTGTCTGTCTGTCTGTCTGTCTGTCTGTCTGTCTGTCTGTCTGTCTGTGGCTCGTCTCCTCGGATGCGTTTCAGGCGCGTGTCGAACCTCAGCTGAGAGTGTGGTTTTGGAGCGGGGTGTGTTTGGGAGTGGGGGGTGTTAGCGAGTTTCCTTACGACCCTCTCGTGTCGCGCGGGACAGAGGAGACGAGTGGAAGTGAATTATTTTGCTCTCTTTTTTTCATCCTCTTCTCCCTCCTCCCTTTCTTTAATTCTTCTATTTGCGTTAAATCTTTTCCATCAGGCTACTTCTCACTTCCTCTCTTGTCTTTCTTCTCTTCTTACATCCTTCCTCTCTGATCCACTTCATTCCCTTTCGTTTTTCATTCTTTCTCTTTTAATGTTTTCAGCCTTTTCTTCCTTCCTTCCTTCCTTCCTTCCTTCTTTCCACCCATCCTTCCTTCCTTCCTTCCTTCCTTCCTTCCTTCCTTTTCTCTTCTTCTGTCTACACTATCCAATCTTTTATCTGTTTCATCCATCCATCCATCCATCCATCCATCCATCCATCCATCCATCCATCCATCCATCCATCCATCCATCCATCCATCCATCCATCCATCCATCATTCCTTCCTATTCTTTTCTTTTGTTACACTATCCAATCTTTTATCTGTTTCTTTCATTCATCCATCCATCCATCCATCCATCCATCCATCCATCCATCCATCCATCCATCCATCCATCCATCATTCCTTCCTATTCTTTTCTTCTGTTACACTATCCAATCTTTTATCTGTTCCTTCCTTCCTTCCTTCCTTCCTTCCTTCCTTCCTTCCTTCCTTCCTTCCTTCCTTCCTTCCTTCCTTCCTTCCTTCCTAGTCTCTTCTTCTGTCTCCACTATCCAATCTTTTAACCATTCTCTCTCCCTCTCTTCTTCTACCTTCAACTTTCCATCTCTTATTATTTTATCTTTCCTTATATAATTTTTTGCATCTCTTCTTTCTCTCTTTTCTCCCTTGTTCTCCTGCCTTCCTCTGCATCATTTCTTCCATTTTCTTCCCATGCTTCCATCTACCCTTCATTCTTTCTCTCTTCCCTCTATTTCTCCAAACCTCAGTATTTTTCCACCCTTCCTTTTCTGCCTTTATGCTTCCATTTTTACTTTCAACAGTCTCTCTCTCTCTCTCTCTTTCTCTGCTTTCATCCCTCCTTTACTCCTTCCTCCACCTGTTTCTCTCACATCCGTTCGTTCTTTCCCTTTATGGTTTTGTCTTTTTTTGGTCATTTTTCCATTGCGTCCATCTTTCTTTCCCTTTAATACCTTCTGTCATTCATTCCTCTCATCTGTCACTTGAAACTCTTTCATTTTCATCTATTCTGTTCATTTCTTCTCTCATCTTTTTGCCACTTTGCTCTCATTTGTCCCATTTTCCTTTCTTCTCCCTTTCAAGGTCCCTTCAGAGTTTTTATTGGGCCAATATTTGCTTTATTGTGATCTTCGTGCTCGTGCGGTCGGCAGAAAAGCCCATCGGAGGACGTGTTTGGCTTTAATGTCAGATGAAAATGTTTCACCCGCCTTTTATTGAATATGTGCTTATATTTCCCTTTACTGGTTTGGGTTATTGTCCTTTAAAAGTAGAAAGTGGCTGTGGGGAATGGTAAACAGGTGCACGGAAAATTACAGATAAGGATTGTCCTCACATTTATAAAGTGAGCTCAACTAAAAGATTCAGTCCATTTTCACTCGGCTTAACGGTGTCATTTAATTTATTATTTTATATCGTCTTCATACTGCTTGGAATTATTTTTATTTTGTCTGTGGTTGCACAAAACATTGCTCCTTGAAAGAAACAAGTGCTTCTAGAAAACTTTTTAATGCTCCCTGTTTGCTCATTTGTTTTCAACATTTTCTTCTTTTCCTCTTTTTCACCCTTTTCTCTTTATTTCTTGCTTTTGTTTTTGTCGCTGGTTTTGAATTTGCAACGTGCACATCACTGGAGCGAACAATGCAGAAAGGACACAGTTTGATGGAAACCTTGGAAAATAAATCTGGATGACAGCTGAGGGATTATTTGTCAAGCTGTCATCAAAGTGACTTAATAATCCTTTACACTTTTGATTTCTGTTTTCTGCTGGCGAGGGAACATAATTCAGCATAATCCAATAGGGATTGATTTTAATCAAGTTAATGCCCCTGCTTGTCTCATTATAGCTCCCGAGTGGCAGAAAATGGGCAAAGATCACTTACAAAACGTGCTGCGAGGAAACTTTTCATCATAAATATCGCTGGCACTGAAAGTCGCAGGTGGGCGTTTGTTTTTAACAGCAAGAAAATCCACATAATTAAAAAAATAATTTTGAAAAAAAAAAAAACAGACCAGCTGTGTTGCTTTTTAAATGATTTTTGAAGTTCATCTTTTTTTTTTTAATCACAGCCTTGTGAGTCGAGATGAAAACTTTATATAATTTATAAAAAAATATATAAATTCAGGTTTTTTGAGTTATTTGCATGCTGGTATTTTAATTATTTTCTATCGTTTGCTGTCAAACAGCAAAGTCTGACATTATTTTCTCTTTTCTTTTCCTGTGGTTGTGTACACGTGTCTGTCTGTTAGCAAAATATTCCATGAACGACTTGGCAAGTTTTAATGAAACTTGCAGCGAGTCCATCTATTTTCTTTTAGCTGCTTGTTTCCTGGTGAAGAAGGAGCTGGTGTCCTCAGCAGTCACTGTGCGAGAGGTGGGGGACACCGTGGACATGTCTCCAGTCCATCACTGGGACAAACAACACTCTCACACACACAGGGACAATTAGGTGTGAGTTCTTGCAGAGAGTGATCTTTGAAATGGGTTTTGAAGTCAACCTGATGTGAAATGTACCAAATCCCACGAGTCTATAGCTATAATTTCATGGGTTTCACTATTATTAACTGAAAATGGTGTGTAGCTGAGGTTGATCTCCAACACGTGTTCCGAGTGCTAACGAACTGTGCAAAATGTTTGTTTAACAATTTGCTAATATAGATGAAGTCAGCTATGTCTGTTAGAAACATATCTCATGAACCACCTGATAGACTTTAATAAAACTTTCAGGAAGTAATCAATAGAAGTTCATCTACAGCTGTTTAAAATTTTGGAGTCCATTCAAACCAGCAGGACCATCACAGCTAACAGACTTTAGTCAACACAAATAGGGCTATATCTCACTCAGTCTATCAGATATCAATAAAGCATTGCTCAATAATCCAAGTATACAATCCAACAATTTTCAGTCAGGTCATCTGGACAGTTTCTTGATTTTGTGCTGAAAAGTTTCACCTTCCATCCAGAAGGCTTCATCAGTCTAAGGAAGCACACAATACAAAACTGATTCTCTCCCAACAGATTACTCCAAAGTGGGAAAAAAAACAGTTATGTTGGTGCTAAGATGGTCTCTGGGGCATGCCCTCTCCTCCGGGGCCCGCCCTCTCCATCGTCAACACTCACATCAAACTGGTTCAAACCAACAAAGTCCATGCTCAATAATCCAGGTATACAATCCAACAATGATCAAGTATCAAGTTAAAATAGATATCAAGATCAAATGTAAGCTGAAAGTCAATCCCAGCACATCCTGTGAGCGAGACATCTCGTCAAGTCAAGTCAAGTCAAATTTATTTGTGTAGCACTTTTAAAACAGGAACGGTTACCAAAGTGCATTAATCATATCTTGTGAGATATTGCATGAAACTGTGCATACCAATATTTTCAAGACTTTAAGAAAACTTCTACAAACCATTTTTCAACATGAAATCATTTCAGTTCAGAGGCATGAAAGGCAGCAGATGTAATGAATTCCATCAAGAAATGCTAGGCCTTCAATTAAATAACATAATATTGAACCATTTTCGGGCAGCACGGTGGCACAACTGGTAGAGCTGCTGCCTCTCAGCGAGCAGGTCCCTGGTTCAAACCCTGGTCCAGGGGCCTTCTGGGTGGAGTTTGGATGTTCTCTCCGTGCATGCGTGGGTTTTCTCCGGGTACTCCGGTTTCCTCCCACAGACCAAAAACATGCATGTTAGGCTGATTGGTAACTCTAAATTGTCCCTAGGTGTGAGTGAGAGAGTGAATGGTTGTTTGTCTCGTTTGTCTTTATGTGTCCCTGTGATGGACTTGCGACCTGTCCAGGGTGTACCCCGCCCCTCGCACAGTGATTGCTGGACATGGACACCAGCGAACCCCGTGACCCAAAATGGAATAAGCGGGTAAAGATAATGGATGGATGGATGGATGGATGAACCGTTTTCTTGTTGTTCTCACACAAACACCTTTATACATACAGTATATGATACATGTCTCGTTTACAGCCGAAATAAAACTTCCTCAGGGACCAGAGATTCTTTTGAGCTCATGGTTGAGTAACCTTTAAATACCGTCAACCTTCACTCCGACAGATTTGAGCTGATATGTGTAATTCTTTGGGGCAAGTCTTTTACTTGCTGACTGTAAATATAAAAAGAACCGACGGCGGCCCCACATTAAAATAAATGAGCACCCTTGTAGTTCAGCTGTTTGAGTAGTTGCTTTATAAACCAAGGCCGAGTCCTCGCTGCAGCAGCCTCAAGTCACATTTCCACTACGACCTTTTATTGTTCGTCATTCTGACTCTTTCGTAGCGACTTCCTGTCAAACAAGAGCTCCTAAAAATGGTGAAATGTTTTGAAAAATAATGGTAGCAGTTTGTTGTGTCTAGGTTAATGCGAGTGAGAAACAAAGACAAAGGTTTTTAGTTTTTGAAGGTGATTTTCATTTATACTGCTCATTTAGACTTTTTGAAAGCGTTTTACATCAACAAGATGGTGTTTGCCTGTTTTAGAATCATTCCGTAGCTTTTAGTCGCTGCAGATTTTCTGTGGAAATGTATTTTGAAGCATTTCAGCTACTTGTGGATTTCATTTATAACAGGATTGTCATTTTACTTGAAGTTGAGACATAAATAGAAAGGGTTTAAACAAAGACACAACAGCAAACAGTGCCAAAATAATCAACAAAAAAACAAATGCAATAAAGATT